AGTACTGTATATATTTAATACTTACTTAGATAAGTATACATTATATTTATCCTTAGGCCTACAGCATTACATCCATAACAAATAATCCTGCTATTACAAAGAAATAAAATACTGTCGCAATAAGAAATACGTTAATTATGATTTATAGACTGCTTATATGACATAATCCTTTAATAGTGCGAAAAACATTCATATTAATGCACGCATAATCTTTACTACACCAATGTTTTCATCCCCAAGAGAAGTCAGGTGTTTACAACCCCAAGTATCAGACACATAAAATGGCGGATCCCCTCCAAACAAATCCTTGTAGGTCCATGGTAGGCCTACAAGGAGGTATAACGCCTAACGCCTCCTTGGTAATATGGCGCTGCTGTTGCCGTTACCATATTCCTTTGGGAGCTCGAGTGGGTACTTGAAAATAACATTTAGGCCAACATTACAGTACTTGAGAATGTATATATATATATATATATATAGGCCTATATATATACAGGGCTATATATATACATATATATATATATATACATATACACACACAAATTTGTTTAAAAAGTGAGAGCTAAATAAAACCTGAAAATGAAACTAAAACACCACCTAAACCTATATACTGTAATTACAAATTAAAAATCGAAAAAGAATTTTAATTCCTTTGCTTAACTATTATATTTCCAGATTAACGGAAGCTTAAATAGTATCATTCAAACTGTAATAAGTCTTTCCATAATATTGCATAAGCCTATCAATACATTTCTGCCATCAAATTGAAAGATGTTTGTAGTAAAGCGTCTATTAATAAACTGTTTGTTGTATCTGCTTGATATGTCGTAAAATAAACATACAGCAATCGGTGGATAATATGGGTAACAAATTATATAACCATTTATAACTACATTTAGATGTACGGTGGCCTTTAGGGTTGGACATTGTGGCAATTTGGTGGCCGAACCCGTTCACACGGGCCATACGCCTTAACGTCTCATTACTGCTTACATGGGTAATCACTGCAATTTACAAGGGCAAATAGTTTAAGGAATGTGACCAGACTATACTACATGTCTACCTATTATATTACACTATATTAAGTCTACATTAATTTTATATAATGCATTTTACGCTAGAGAAAAAAACATTGTTAGCTTTGGCAGTAGTTGTATTAATTTATAGTTACATAATACAGTAAGTAAGTCGGCCCTAAGTAATATTTATTACTTTCTTTGAAATCATTACAAAGAAAGACAAAAAACGATCACAGTGATAAAAATGATACAAAAACAAGATCAGAAAAACATCATAAACCCACCCTGCTTATAGAAATGAAACATAGAAAGCAGAGGACGGCCCTTCAAGCCCAAAGGCTCAGTTTTGTTTCAGAAGGGGTCCCCAAATAATAATAACAGTAGATATCTTCACAAAGGAAACACATTCTAACCAACAAAAGTGGGTCAATATGTAAAAATCTGCAAAAGCTATTACCATTCAGATTGGATCTATTGGGAGAGAAAACCCTCCTAAAAAGCTTCTGGTTGAATTTTTTAGGCCTTGCTTGGGCAACCACCTGTCAATTAAGTTCCTCACTTTCATTCAAAATTGCTCAATTTACATGAGCAATTTCTGTGCAAGCAATATTGAAGGTCATATTATTGCTAGCAAGAATGGCTCCATGTGAATTGGGCTTTAGAAAGACGGTGCGCCATAGCAGTTAATATACACACAGACCCTACAGGGTCTGTGATATACACAAGGTAAACAATGGAATTGAACCGGGGACCAATATCGCAAGCGTTACTACCATCATTCAAGTTAAATGCCCATGAAAACTGTAACAATTTGTTCGTAACGGTACAAACTCATCTTATAGCATTGAGGGCGTGATTCGATTGACATGAAACTGTTTGCATTATACAACATTACAGTGTGTTCACTGTGACATATAGTAACGCCCTCGCAGTTGAACTAATGAAAGTACATCTTATGGTTGTTAAAAAAAACAAATGTTTTTCATCGACACAAGGAAGTTTAGTATTGTTAAAATGTCGGCCATAGCTTTCAGTTACGTTCATGTAATATAGGTTGGTTTGATGTCTGCCAAGGACGATATACTATAGCGAATTGTGCTTATGTGCAATGGTTTTCTCTATGTAATTTCTGTTACAAAAAATGTGATTGTATTTTCAATACAGTAAATCTATTACACATAATATTACACAATAATTTAAAATTTATTTTTATTACTGCATTCTGAGTACAGTATTATAGCTGCAGTATCTAAATGTCAAGCAAAGGTAGACGCTATAACCAATCAGTTTTAATAATTCTTGAAATTAATTAATTGCTGGGCCGTACTCGTTAATAGCCACACAGAGAGGTAAAATATTAACGGGCAATCTACTCCAGCTGAAATACCACACCGCGTTAATAGGCAAGCAATTGTTCTAAATGAGTTAAAATAAATATTACTAACGACGTAGTGGCCGCACTACGCTAGGCCAATAGGAATTATAGTAAGGTTTGATTGTTAAATACGTTAACCAAAATATGAGACGCTGTAGGCTAAGGAACATTGTGTAACATGATTGTTTTCAAACGTACAAGGCCAAAATACTCACATCGCAGGACACATAACGTGAGAATATATTTAATTATTTTTCTTGACAGCTGGAGAACCGGTCAGCGCTAATAAAAGCACTTCTTTTAATATGGTCCAGCGTACCATAAAAAAAAATACATATGCAAACATCGAAAGAATATGTAACATAAAAAATACTGAATAAAAAAAACTTCTTATTGTTAATAACATTAAGAATTCTGCCTGGGCATTTAAGTGCGCTTGCTATTAGAATAATGAATGAAATGCAAGACGCCTTGTATATTTTCTTCAACAGGGATAACAAGGTTAAAAGTACGATCTTCTGAAATATCAAACATGTAATTTGTTCGATCGATACAATATCAACCAATGATCATTCATTTTATTGTGAACAGAAAATTGTGCTGAATATTTTACTAGACGAAGAATAGGCCTGATATTGTCCCGAAAAGAAACAGTTTAATCAATTTTAATCGGCTTCTTATGGGAGACTGTAGCTGAAATAATGATGAAGCTGTACATTATGAATCCTTGTAAATGTAGGCCTACAGTATACTGTTAAATCAGACGATAAGCATATAAACATGAGATAATGAGATAGGCCTACTGTACGAAGTAGCTAATTAGGAATATAAACTTCATTATATATTTAAAGTGTACTTTGATCATAAAGGCGCATTGATCGCGAGTTTTATTTACAGAAGTTAATCAGTATATATATATTTAATACGGACCAACCGACCTATATCTGGGGATATTATATCAGCATCTGGACGAATTAATTCGCGCTAGCTACATATCACCTAGCCAAAATATTTGCTTTAGTACCGTAGAGTGCTTACTTAGTCAAATAAAATTTCAACAATTTCTGTTTAATGAAGATTTAATTGTATTTATTCTGTGTCTTTCCTGTTATACGGTGAATTGAAACGAATTTATGAAAGCAAACAATTAGCACAAGACAGAAAGCAATATGAAGTGACTAGTAGATAAAGTAAAAAAATGTAATATTTCGATTATTTGTTATTTGAGTAAGGATCTACTGGTACAGTACTAGACCTATTACATGGGTGGAGAGAAAAAAAAAATCACCAAAGCTCAAGCCTAAATCTGTGCTTTTCAGTGAAAGGGAGATAGGTCTACAGTATAGCCACAGTGAAACTGAGATGCCCTAGGTTGTGATAGGTGGCAGGTCAATAACCAAAATTATTGATTGTTTATTACGGTGGAAAGCACAGTTTCTTTAAAAATTAGTTCGCATACACCGAGTAAAAATAAAGATAGACGCTTGAGTTGCTGTATGACCGGGGGGGGGGGGATAACAAGCACCTTTTCATGATTTATTCATTCATAATTATTGATTGATCTTCAGGTAGTAAAATATTCATGAGCTATCAAATTTCAATTCCCATAAACCTTGACTGTTAAGCATAAACACTAGAACACGTTCTTCTTTCTGTTAATCTTGTTATTAATAATTATATTTGATCTTTCCTTCGCTCTAAACGTTAAGGTAATAGTGGGCCTTTCTCATCTCATAGGCTTACTTCATTTTTCTCACTTTCACTCACACTAATCCTACCCTTTTGTACCTTGTCACCTTCCAGTTTTTCTCAACACATTTTAAATCCACCGAACGCGTTCTTTCCTCACTGCTATGGATTAATTGGTCTACAATCTATCTCTATATTTCTTGTTTGACTTATAAAAGTGCACTATTACAATACTAATAATAATAACACAGATCGGCGCCATCTATCTAAACCTTACGAGACAAACAAATAATTACCGTACCCCTAGTTAAAGACTACACGAACAGCCATGCTTCGTATACAAATTTTATGTAAAATTAAATCCTCTACCAATAAGAATACGTTTAAATCTGTCTGTTAGAAATTGCTTAATGGAATAAATGGTTGCAGATGGAATCGATGTGTGCTTAAGAAAAGAGCATGCATAACTGAATTAGGAAAAATCCAATTTAACATAAGCTTAAACATCAATTTGTTCTTTGGTATTTGAATTTCATCGTCAAGGATTACACTGCAGAGAAGACTTGCTTCCTAGGTTATCCGAGTAATAAAGTTGACTGAATTCAATTAATCAATTAATCTATCAATCAATCAACTAAACCCATAATCTTTGGAGTCGTTTTAGCAACAGTCGATGTCTACCAGTCACTTGAGGTATAAAACCTCCATGTTATAACATAACAATTTAGACAATTTAGCGGTTTCATAGGCTTATTTAATCGATTTTAGAGTCTACTAATATGTAGAAAATACATACAGTATAACTTTTTTTCTCCCCGACGAATTGTGCTTTTTCTTTCCGACGGGGGGGAACAGCCCTGCCCCCCCCCCCCGTTGGCGCCACCCCTGGTTGAACTTGTACTGTACGCGGCACATTCTGACACCTATTACTGATTGAAAAACTTCAATTTTCACATTCTCTGCTGAAATCATCATTACAAAAGCAAGTTTCCCCCACCCCCACCTATTCCACTTAACCTATGATAAGACGAAGACATTTCTGTAGTAGTTGGAATAGTGCGGTAACGCGAATAAAACGTACACTTCGACAGTGTCATCTATAAAGGTCTTGCTATGCAAACAACTAAGGCATTAACGAACAACCTGTCCTTGTCATATCACTAAACATGTCAGAGGCTATATAGAAATTAGGGACTAACAACATTTAACAGTTGCTAGTATTCTGTACTAATTCCATATAGGCCTACAGTTTTGAATTTCTCATCAAGGAAAATTACTTCATAAACGTTACAATAATAGGCTATTCTAATTATACTAAATCTAAGTTACGAGTTGCCTTGGCTCCAGCCAATGCGGCAGTATTGATCTGCAGATATATGAAATTCTTGTGCCTGTTACATGAAAAACAGACAACAGTTTTGAAATTCAACTGGTAGAATCCCCTCTCATGTGAAGAATGTAACCATAATAGTTATGTTTACATCTTGATAGGAATACAGTATCTGTTAAAAAGGAAATATAGACAGATTTTAAGAGGTCAGATCTGAATAATTAGAAGGTCAATGTATGTGCTTGACGTCCGCACTTCGTTACCTACACTATACCTCAATGCCTACACAGTGGAGTTTTAATAGTAACAAAAATTGTAATTGTCATTCATCTTAATGAAAATGTGAAAACAGATTCATCGCCAATACACTCATAATACAGTGCCATCCTTCCATCCATGTACGTATCATTTGCCTTTAAAATCGTGCCAGAGAGGTACATGTAGGCCTAAATATTGTACTACAGTACAAAAGAGAATTTACAAATATCTAAGCTTGCATACGTTTTAACTATTACCTTATTATAGTATGGTGTATGGTGTTATCGAGATAGATTTTAGAGTGTTTTAAAGATGTCCTGGGTCGCCTCTCGTTACACCTGTAATATTGGTCCCTGGAGGCAGACAATGTGACAGTAACTGGCAAGTAAAGTAGTTCTGTAGTAGACCTAGTCTAAATCCTAAACTATAAAATGCCAGGAGTTTTATTGTATTTTATGACGTCATCCCCACTCAGCTTCTTGTAAAAGACTCATGAGATTAAACACAGCCTGATAAAAAAAAAATGCTAATAGTTCATTCTATCTTCACTTGATAATACAATTTCAATTGGATAAGATGTGTATTATTAAAAATAATACTTAAAATTAAAAAGAAAACAATGATAAAATGTATTAATGACGAATATTTCGGGCACGCCTGAGTACCCTTTCTTTGAGGAGGGACATAAATTGAAATGTTCGTGTTAGATTAGAGCTTACCGTATGTCAACGTATGAAATCGTTTCATTTTTATACCGCCTTATATTTATCTGTGAGAAATACATCGGATTTTATCATAAACATAAATGTACAGATTTTATTACCTCTTGCTTTAGTTGCGGTTATTTTCAAAGCTTCATCGATGTCTATCTCATCCTCACGCAAAACATAAAACTCTTTAGTAAAATTTCCCTCACGGTCAAAAGCCTCGTATATACCACTACATAAGAAGAAATGATCCCTAATACTGTTCTCGTTAGTTTCGTCTGAAATAATTTGTGTAAAAATCTTCCAATTGTACAACTTAAAGAATTCCACCAACGCACGTCCCATGTCGATATACGTAGGGCCGGTTCGAGTTGTCGTATTGAATTCGCGTAAAGATTCCTCTTTTCGAAAATCAGGAGCAAGGGCGGCGGGAGTTACCAGAGGCATCTGCCAGACGCTGTTTAGACGTGCAACGGATGCTGCAGGGTACGGGCAACAGGGTCCAAATATTACTTGCCCGTGGTACTTTTCCCTGAGATTCAATGCACTGACCTGTGCTATTAATGGGTCACATTTTACGTCTACAAAGATCGGCTTCAGGATATAGTCTCCAAGTAATCCGGATTCGTTTACGTAATTTAGCGCAAGATCAATAGACGGTAGAACCAGTTCTCTTCTGAACGGCAAAAACGTTCGTATTGGAATGGAAGTTTTATTTGTAGTCAGCATAAAAAATGCATATAACGTACCGTCATCTACCTTCGCATTGCAATCACATTCCTGGGTCTCTACACCACCCACTTCAATTGACACTCCTATAAGTACCACTGCTACCACCACCACCACCCATAAGCCGTACCTCATTCTGGCTGGGCAAAGTTTGGAAAGATTCAAGGTTCAAGACTACGTCTGTACTGTGTTGCTTATTGAATTTGAGCAATGAAGAGGTGTTACCTTTTCGCTATTCCAAAATATTTCCGGCTCACTACAATAAATGCCATAGGGTGAAAAACGTGTGGAAATCGAGGAATGAATGTAGATAGCATACAAGCGTATATTCAAAATAGACCCGGTCACAAAAGACCAATTATATTTCTCAATTTAGGCATGACAACATGTCGTCAATCGATCAGGTCCATATCTAACATTCGACCATCGCTGACACGCAAACAAATCCGAAACCCTTTTATACCAAATCAATCAGGATCCTACCAGATAAAGTATAAAGTACAGGTACGTACACCCTAGGGCATAGGCTGAGCCAAACATAGGCAGGAATCCAGAACTTTCACGCCAACAATGCCTAATAATCCAGTGAAAGAATAAAAATCCCAGTAGTCGATGGGGCGGAGTAACTACACACACTTGTTTGTATGCATGTACATACTGACGACTCTCTGTGCTACGTGAGCCTCATCGTCCAGAATCAGTGAACACGCTGTGATAAGTGTGAATGGCACAGTTGCTGGTTCTGATCACCAAATAAAGCTAACAACAGCGCCACCACTATTCACACTCTTAACATTCGAAGGATACAGTTATCTTTTATATCGAAAATTGTAAACCAAATAGGTCAAAAGTTCAAGATTGTGATGATTTTATAGATAAAATGCATTGCACTAAAATGCTGAACTAATAAAAAATGCGTCCACATGTTGTGAAATGACATAGACGTGAGACGTATTGAGGGGCAAAATAACACCGGATATTGGTGTTATTACTTTATGCAACGATTAACTGCTATCTTCCTCCTTAGATGATAATAATATTTATGCTCAAATCAATGATGACGATAGGATTTACCCGACGGAGAAGACAGGCGATTCCTCGATGGGGGAGTAAGTGGACGGTAGCCAGGTGGCCACCCACACCGTCATTTTTGAGAATAGAAAGGCATTTAATCGCTTTCAGAGAGTACCATAATCAGTAAAAAATACATTTCGTTTTATCCCCTACCACTTGACCTCCCAGATGGGTGAGGGAGCCGGGCTGCCAAAATAGTGATGGGAACGGGAAGGGAGATGGGGGTGCGACGATCGCTGAATAAAAAAAAAAGTTTCATTATTACACCTATCACATCATTTTAGAAAATACAGTTAGCAAATACAGGCATCGTTACATGAAACAAATATATCGCTGCATTATATTTTCAACTACTACTGTTAACTCAATGTACGTTATGTATTAACAACTGCGGTAGGTATAAGTTGATGGCACATTGGTGTACTTTGTCTACTCGGTTTGCTTCGATAAATACTCTTTTTATAAATCATAATTTTTAGAATTAGGCTTAATGATGCAAACAAGTAGAATCAAGTGAAAGCACGACACAACTATACCGAATTATGCCAAGGGTCAATGGAAACGGCAATTATTCAGTAATTAAATAAAAAAAGACAAATCGAATGTTAGTAATTCGTTTGACGATAAAGGTGAACCAATCAACCAGCTTCAATTTAAGTACACTACTCATTTTTTATCAATGTCCTTGTTTCAACAATGTATTTCAGTATAGAGGGCGACAAACAATAATTTGTTTATATCATAGCAAGCAAACGGAGACAAGCTCTACGATTAGATTGAACGAAATAATCAATTAATAACGTTATTTCTACTGGAATTCGAATCCGGTTGTTCAGTTTCTCTTGCAACTGAGACGATGAAATACTGGTACTGGTTTTTTTCTTTAAATTTTCTTTTAAGTTAGAAAGTTTAAAAAAAAAAAATTGTACGACTAAAAATGTTCAGCATAAACAAATATTATTTATGAACTCAGGTAGAAGAGCGAAATATAGTACACGAATGATATAAAATATTCTGTTTAATGAAAATGCCACGCAAATCTGAAAAGCAAAACTGTAAGACGTCTTAGATAACAATGAGGGCGGTATTACATTTTTGTTCGCGATCAGAAGATAAATAATCTTCATACGTTCAAAATAACTAACCACACTTCTCGAATCATTTCATAGTACAGTATCAATGTTTGCTCACTATTATTAGGTTTTACTAAATAGTTTAATCTATGCAGATAAAAAAATCATTATACTGTTTTAGTCATCAATTGGAAATAATTATACAGGCTCAAGCCTATGTAATACACGTGCCTTTTTAGTAAGGAAATTCGATACATTTCATAATCAGATATAACGTAAATAATGCAGGCAGAATTACCAAACGAATTATCAAGTGACGACGTTTATGTAAACAATTATTTCATTATCCATAATTATATTTACATCCACATCGGCATGTGATAATTTGGTGATTTTGCTCGCCTAACTAACTAATATTATCATTTAAAAAAAAACCTATACTAAATTTTGCATAAAACGACGTTACTATGTAACATACCAAATGCTGCAAGGTTCACCTCGTGTACAAAACGAAATTCGGAACGCGTTTCCGAAGCGCTGAACGCCAACGTCACTAATTTGAATTGCAAAAACATTTCAGAGGGTCGCGAGAATATTCCTGACCAGTGATGGCTACAGGATCTGCCCGACAGGAGCTAAAGGCCCCGACTGCTGGGGGAAGGGTACCACCGGTGGGGGTCCAAGGGCGAAGCTCCCTGGAAGCTACGAATATTTGAAGAATTTTGGTGAATTTTTATTGATAGGCATCAAGCTACCGTAATATGACTTCATGTATGTTTTTTAATGTCGAAATTAACTTCCAAAACCGAAAATGTTTGAATAAAACAACGAGAAACAAAGAGTGCAATGTAAGTAACCAACTAACTTATTTTCAAATCCGTTTTCCATTTTATATCATTTTTTTTAAATACCGTATTACATTACAATACTATCCTCCCACCATGGCGAAATCCAGGTTTTTTATATAATTCATGTGATTTAGTCACTTTATTTACTTGTTCACTTAACAACTACGGTACACTAGTAGGCCTACAAACAAGTTCCGGGAACCAAGGAGGCCAAGGCCTGTAATTAAGCTCCCGGACTAATCTAAATTATTTAGATTAAACTTAAGTAAAATAATAATAATAAAGAAAAAAAAAACAGAACAAACAAGCCAAGCCGGGAAGAACTGTACAAATTAAACAGATGAATGGAATAAGGAGCGCTTTGGGCCATGTTGTCATGAAACATATCTATCATAACATACTTAGTTATCATTATTGTTATTACCATTATCATTATTATTATTTTTATCATAACATACTTAATTATCATTATTATAATTATAATTATTATTATAATTATTATTATTATTATTTTTTTTATTATTATTATTAGTAGTAGTAGTAGTATTAGTATTATTATTATTATTTACACACAGCGATATATTTCGATAATTTTTTTTTATAGCTTAGTTTTAAATTGGTTGAGGTGAGTAGCAGATTTAATTGTTTTAGGCAAGAAAAGTCAGTATTTAGATCCAGAGTAAAAAAAAAGTTTGGTCTTTTAGTTAGTCAGGAAAAAGGAATATGATATGAAGAAACCTGGCGGGTGGAATATGAATGAATATTTGAATTCTGAGTAAAGCAAATTGCCAGAGCAGATGGAATTCCCCCACAATTTAGATTATACATGAAAATCCCAACATTTAAATCAAAAAGGTCCTTTATCTGCAAAATGCTTAGGGATAGGAAAAGTGGTGGAGCGTGAGCCAACCATTTTGCGTTGCAAATGCATCTAACCGCCCTCTGTTGTATCACGTGGACTCTGTTAATATGAACGCCACTGGCTTTCCCCCACGGAAGAACACCATAATTTAAATATGGTAGAACGAGAGAGTTATAAAGCAATTTCATCACACATGATGGGACAAATTCTTTAAGTTTGTGCATAGCACCAACGTTGCGGGCTATCGTCTTACATAGGTTCTGAATATGTACGTCCCATGCCAATCGGTCCTCTATATAAATTCCTAAGAATTTGATAGCTGGAACCCTAGAAATTTCATTCCCATTCAGTAAAATCGGGGCAGGGAGTTCCTTGATAGTATTGCTGAAAAACATAAAATTTGATTTGCTCGTGTTCAATGAGAGGCGATTGGCATGGGTCCATTCCATAATTTTTACAAGTTTACTGTTTGCAGCGGCAATCAAATTGTGTACATTATGATCAGAAACAAAAAAATAAAAATAAAATAAAATCATCAGCAAAAATAGTTAAGGAAAAGACATTAGAACATCTAACAAGATCGTTGATATAGACAATAAAGAGAAGCGGTCCCAAAATGGACCCCTGTGGAACTCCACATGGGACATGCACCTTGCTATAGAGTCAAATCCATTAAGAGACACGTATTGCATTCTCCCTGAGAGATAACTTCTGTACCACTCCAACGCCCTGCCACGAAAACCATAATGTGAGAATTTTTCTTTTGTCCAAAGCAGAAGTAATGTTTCCAACAGCGTCAAGGAAGGCGTGCGTGGTAGAATGCATCCAAACGAGCATTGTCATAGTAGAACGTAAACTATTTTAAATTAGTCTCATTGAACAGGGGCGGATCCAGAATTTTCAAACGGGGGAAGGGGCATTATTGCATTCTTTTTTTCTTATTTCAATATATATAACATTAATATGCACTGACATTTTAAAAAATAGTGTCGAAAGGCTGTTTCGACACTTGACACTGTTCTGCTGACTTACGTTCAAATGTTTGAACGTAATTAATTCATTGTGAAGAATATCTGTTGTTTCATGGGCTTAATTCAATGTGAAAATTAATATATACGGTACCGGTAGTCGGATACCGTAACTTACAATAAAACGGAAAGGGAATTTATATTGTTGTTGTTATTGTTGTTGTTATTGTTTTTATTATTATTATTATTATTATTATTATTATTATTATTATTATTATTATTATTATTATTATTATTGTTGTTGTTGTTGTTGTTGTTGTTGTTGGGCTAGGCTTCCCCGACGAGGGGGCTATAGCCCTCTCAGGCCCCCTTTGGCGCCACCACTGTTCCTAAATACTAAGAATTCGGTAAAGCTCATTTCAAAACTTATTGATAGGCCTAATATTAAAAGAAGCAGGTCATAAATAATGTTACATTGTGATGAGTTACTTCTTCACTTTTTGAGTTCGTTCGAGCCTTTTTGACGAGGGGTGGGCATTGTTTTTTGCTAAGTCATCAAATCGACTGTGCATAAGTCAACAATTTGTGTAGAAAATATTCTCCATACTATAAGAATATTCCGAACATGATCGACGATAATAATGCCTCGTGCACTGTGCAGAAAAGCAGAAACGATTTACCACAGCCACTTTGTATTCAACTTTGCTATCAAATTATACTAGCTACTAAAAAAACAAGGCAATATGTCAGAAACCAGTCTCATTATGATTTTATCGAGCATCAAGTAGGCCTAAGTAATCAACAAACATGACAATAGCCTTGTGGTGTGACGATAATATGCCAATTGAGTCACCAAATAATACGGGGTCTAAAAATGGGTCGCCGCCTGAAAACTTTGAGAAGGAAATGAATTTTCCCTGTCTCC